CTCTTGCAACTGCCACTCTACACACAACTTCAATGAGATGTACTTTTTTATATTTCACACATAAAGTACTTGTCTGTCTGTTCCTGGCTTATTTCTGTTTGTGTCTCTCTTCTTTTGGACTGAGGATTGAAGTAGAAGCACTAAAACACTGAGCCACTTCTCCTGCCATTTTTATTTTATATTTTGGAGACATTGTCTCTCTAAATTCCTGAGGGTCTCAAAAGTACTAAAACAGTTCTCAAACTTATGATCCTCCTCACTCAGCCTCCTGAGTCAATGGGATTAGAGGCATGTACCACTGCACCAGCTTATTTCTCTTAAAGCAATTGTTTCTATTTTCATCTATGTTCTTGCAAATAACAGAGTTTTATTTTATGTCTGGGAACTTTTCCAATGTGTATATATACCATATTTTCTTCGTCCATTATTCAGCTGATAATCACTTAGCTTGCTTGTTCCATTTCTTGTTTTATTTCTTAGTGTGCATAAGAGGATTATTTTATTCTGATTTTTTTTGTCCTCTGTTTGTAGGACCTAGAACAGCACCTACCCTAAAGAAAGTACCAAATACATATTTATTAGGTGAATTAATGAATGGATGATTTGGACATTTTGGATTGGAAGAAACTGTGGTGATGATTATTTGTTCTGTAGTCCCTGAAAATGTAAAAAATGACAAGATGTTTATATCTATTTTCTTTTCTTTTATCTTATTTTTTGGTCTTAAAATTTGAAAATGAAACAAGGATTTAAAATTTTGAAAGCTATTAACATGCCTATTATGAAATGAAGAGATCTTAAAAGAAGCTTTTGAAGAATATGCCACTGGATGTGGATGAGTAAGAGCGTATTGAAAACGTTAACTTGCCAGCAGACTTTGGGAAATTCATCAAACTTGTTCATCAACTTCATGTCCCTTATTTCTTGAAAAATATAAAAATTCTTTTGACTGAGTCCTGGAAGGCCTGTTGTACTTGCTTGTTCCTTAGTGTGTAATTGAAGGGGCGTTCAGCATGGGAGTGATGGGAGTAGTGAGGAGAGTCACCCCCTTATTAATGGCCACTGAGTACTTCGCTGAAGGTTTAATGTAGATGAAGATGCAGCTGCCATAGGTGAGGGAAACCACAATCATGTGGGAAGAACAGGTAGAAAAGGCTTTTTTTCTATTGCTGGGCAGAAGGGAATCTTAAAATTGTCTTGAAAATGTAATTGTAGGACAGAACTACACACATGAGTGTCATAATGAGGGTCAGTACAGCACAGATGATAATGGTCTGTTCCATAAACCAAGT